AAAAAAGAAATTTTAGGCTACATACTGAACCACTGAACGTGATGTTGTAATAACCACACTTTTCAGAGTCGACGGCAGGTCTTCCTGGTGCCCCTGGTGTGAGTCTTTGTCGCTGACAACTCTGGGGCAGTGTGGCCCCTGTGAGTGTGCAGTCCTGTTGGGGTAGCTGGCAGCTGCCCTCAAACCATCTCGGACCTGTGCGCTGGGCTTCGCATCCCGCCCGGTCATGCCTTCCCCACAGACCCAGCCTCTGACAGACATCCTGGGCCTGCCTGCTTTTCTGGCCACTCCCGCCTTTTCCTGCCTGGCGTCCTGCAGGCCCAGCACAGGCCAGCCCTGTCCTGAGTGGACCCTGGGCCCTGCCTTCCTGCAGGAGCCGGAGCTGCCTGGGGACGGTGAGTAACATGAGAGCTGGAGTCTCTTACAGTGCTCTCCTGGTTCTGGATTTTACAGGGGATGCTTTTGAGGAATGACTTAGTTTTTATGAATTACTTCCTTAGATCCTAGGGGAGATTGGATTTTCCCCTGGAAGTGTAAGTCCCATAATTGGACACCCAGAGTAAGTACACTCCACAGCACTCCCTGTTCCCTCATGGCTCTAGAAGCAGCTGGCAGGGATTTTCCACCCACCAGTGACACTTGCACCCTGTTTCTGTGCTTTGAAAAGCACCTTCCTGGGTTGTCTTTCTTGGTGCCACGAGGTGGCCACCCTTGTGAGACGAGAATTTATAACCCCGTTTGCGGCAGGGCTCCAAGTGGTTGAGTCATGCGTCTGAGGTCACATGGCTTTTAATAAAGGGGCCAAAGATGGAACTGGGGCCTCCTGCAAGCACGCCAAGTTCCTGGCAGCTCGGCCTAGCCCTTCATGTCTCTTCAGTGAGGCTCAGGTGGGTGCAGCCTGGGGTGGGACCCTCTGGTAGCCCTTGCAGGTCTTAGCACACTTTGTCTACTTTTTTTTTTTTTTGAGACGGAGTCTCGCTCTGTTGCCAGGCTGGAGTGCAGTGGCATGATCTTGGCTCACTGAAACCTCTGCCTCCTGAGTTCAAACAATTCTCCTGTCTCAGCCTCCTGAGTAGCTGGGACTACAGGCGCACGCCACCACACCCGGCTAATTTTTGTATTTTCAGCAGAGACAGGGTTTTACCATATTGGCCAGGCTGGTCTCGAACTCCTGACCTTGTGATCCACCTGCTTTGGCCTCCCAAAGTGTTGGGATTATAGGCATTAACCACCGCACCCAGCCACTTTGTCTGCTTCTTACGATACTAGAACCAGAGTGCAAAGGGCATCTTTTTCTGCTGGGACTGCAGCTTTTCTGAGATCTTGTTTATTTGCAAATTGTTAATCTCAGAGTCTTCTGAGCATGAAATGTTGGCCACTTTTCCTAACCAGCAATTTCATTTTCATTAAGGTTGAAATTATAAATTGAAAATGTTGGCTGGGCACGGTGGGTCATGCCTGTAATCCTAGCACTTTGGGAGGCTGAGGTGGGCAGATCTCTTGAGGCCAGGAGTTCAAGACCAGCCTGGGCAACATAGCAAAACCTCATCTCTACAAAAAATACAAAAATTAGCTGGGCACAGTGGTGCATGCCTGTAATCCCAGCTACTTTGGTGGCTGAGACACAAGAATCACTTGAACCTGGGAGGCAAAGGTTGCAGTGAGCTGAGATGGTGCCACTGCATTCCAGCCTGGGTGACAAAGTGAGATCCTATCTCAAAAAACAAAAACAATTAGAAAAAGAAAAAAATAAAATGTTCTGTTTAATAGTTCTTTAGTTTTATGTTCATTTGTACAATTCATAAATATTTACTATCTACCTATGCCTGGTCCTATGTTAGGTGCTAGACACTTAAGAGTAAAAACAAGTTGGGTGTGGTGGCTTATGCCTGTAATCCCAGCACTTTGGGAGGCTAAGGCAGGCAGATAGATCACTTGAGCTTAGGAGTTTGGGACTAGCTTGAGCAATGTGGCAAAACCCCATCTCTACAAAAAATACAAAAATTAGCCGGGTGTGGTGGCTCGCACCTATAGTCCCAGCTACTCAGGAGGCTGAGGCAGGAGGATTGCTTGAGCCCAGGAGTTTGAAGCTGCCGTGAGCCGAGATTGCACTACTGCACTCCAGCCTGTGTGTCAGAGTGAGACTCTATCCCAGAAAACCAAAAACCAAGAAACACAGCAGTAAAAACAATTGGTTGCAATGGCTCATGCCTGTCATCTGAGCAGCGTGGAGGATCACTCTGCTCTCCACCAGAGTGACCAGCCTGGGCAACAGAGTGAGACCCTGATTCAAAATTAAACAAATAAACAAACAACTGAGCCAGGTGTGGTGGCACCGGTAATTCCCAGCTACCGCTAGATCCTGTCTATTTTATTAAAGTAAAAAGAAAAAAAATGACTCTGCCAGCCTCAGTAGCTCACACCTGTAGTCCTAGCACTTCGAGAGGCCAAGGCTGGTGGATCACTTGAGCACAGTTCAAGACCAGCCTGGAAAATATGGCAAAATGCCATCTCAACAGAATTTCAAAAAATTAGGCATGGTGGCTTCTGCCTGTGGTCCCAGCCACTCAGGAGGCTGAGGTGGGAGGATAGATTGAGCCCAGGATATCAAGGCTGCAGTAAGCTGAGGTTACACTGTTGCACTCCAGCCTGGGCCGCACAGAGAGACACTATCTCAAACAACAATAAAAATTACTCAGAGTGCCTTGTTTTCTGCTTTCAGACATGTACCTATTTTTCATTTAAAAAAATGTTGAATTTGGCCGGGCACGGTGGCTCACGCCTGTAATCCCAGCACTTTGGGAGGCCGAGGCAGGTGGATCACCTGAGGTCAGGAGTTCCAGACCAGCCTGGCCAACATGGTGAAACCCTATCTCTACTAAAAACCCAAAAATTAGCTGGGCGTGGTGGTGCACATCTGTAATCCCAGCTACTCAGGAGCCTGAGGCAGGAGAATCTTTTCAACCTGGGAGGTGTAGGTTGCAGTGAGTGGAGATTGTGCCACTGAACTCCCGCCTGGGCAATAAGAGTGAAACTCTGTCTCAAAAAAAAAAAAAAGGGCCGGGCGCGGTGGCTCAAGCCTGTAATCCTAGCACTTTGGGAGGCCGAGACAGGCGGATCACGAGGTCAGGAGATCGAGACCATCCTGGCTAACACGGTGAAACCCCGTCTCTACTAAAAAATACAAAAAACTAGCCGGGCGAGGTGGCTGGCGCCTGTAGTCCCAGCTACTCGGGAGGCTGAGGCAGGAGAATCGCTTGAACCCGGGAGGCGGAGGTTGCAGTGAGCTGAGATCCGGCCACTGCACTCCAGTCTGGGCGACAGAGCGAGACTCCGTCTCAAAAAAAAAAAAAAAAAAAAAGATGATCTGTGTTTTACTCATTTTATTTTCATTTTTGAAATAGAGGCTCACTCTATCGCCCAGGCTGGAGCTTAATGGCGCAATCTCGGCTCACTGCAACCTCTGCCTCCCAGGTTCAAGCCGTTCTGCTTCAGCCTCCTGAGTAGCTGGGATTACAGGCACGTGCCACCACACTTGGCTAATTACATTTTATTTATTTATTTATTTATTTATTTATTTATTTATTTTTGAGACAGAGTCTCGCTCTGTCGCCCAGGCTGGAGTACAGTGACACAATCTCGGTTCACTGCAACCTCCACCTCCTGGGTTCAAGCGATTCGCCTGCCTCAGCCTCATGAGTAGCTGGGACTGCAGGCACTTGCCACCACGCCTGGCTAGTTTTTGTATTTTTAGTAGAGATGGGGTTTCATCGTTTTGGCCAGACTGGTCTTGAACTCCTGACCTTGTGATCCGTCTGCCTCAGCCTACCAAAGTGCTGGGATTACAGGCGTGAGCCACCATGCCCACCTATATTTATTTATTTTAATGTAATTTATTTATTTATTTTTTTTGGAGACAGAGTTTTGCTCTTGTTGCCCAGGCTCGAGTGCAGTGGCATGATCTCAGCTCACCACAACATCTGCCTCCCTGGTTCAAGCAATTCTCGTTCAAGCAAATACTCAGCCTCCTGAGTAGCTGGGATTACAGGCGTTCACCACCATGCCCGGCTAATTTTGTATTTTTAGTAGAGACGGGGTTTCTCCATGTTGGTCAGGCTGGTCTCGAACTCCTGACCTCAGTTGATCCTTCTGCCTCGGCCTCCCAAAGTGCTGAGATTACAAGTGTGAGCCACTGCGGCCAGCCATTATGTTTATTTTTAATTAATTAATTTTTTTGAGATGGGTCTCTATCACTCAGATTGGAATACACTGGTGTGATCACAGCTCACTGCAGCCTCGACCTTTTGGGCTGAAATGGTCCTCCTGGCTGGGCATGGTGGCTCACTCCTGTAATCCTAGCACTTTGGAAGGCTCAGGCGGGTGGATCACCTGAGGTTGGGAGTTTGAGACCATCCTGGCCAACATGGTGAAACCCCATCTCTACTAAAAGTACAAAACTTTGGCATGATGGTGCATGCTTGTCTTCCCAGCTACTCGGAAGGCTGAGGCAGGAGAATCACTTGAACACAGGACTCGTAGGTTGCAGTGAGCTGAGATCATGCCACTACGCTCCAGTCTGGGTGATAGAGTGAGACCCGGTCTCCAAAAAAAAAAAAAAACCTAAAAAACAAAAAGCAAGCTCCTCCATCAGCCTCTGCAGTAGCTGGGACTTACAGGCAGGTGCCACCACACCTGGCTAATTTTTGTATTTTTGGTAGAGACGGGTTTCACTTTGTTGGCCAGGCTTGTCTTGAGCTCCTGGGTTCAAGGGATCCACCCACCGGAGCCTCCCAAAGTCCTGGGATTACAGGCGTGAGTCACTGCGCCTGGCGTGAATTGTGTTTTATAAGTAATGTCCCTGCTTAGAGACGGTTGGGACTTCGGCGTCAGACCCCTCCCTCTACACTGCCCTCTCCAGGGCCTTGCAGCAGTGAGGTGTGGGGCGTTCGCAGTTCCCTTCCCAGCTGGTGCCCGCTGACTGCTGGCGCACTCTCTCCTAGGCCAACGAGGTGACGGACAGCGCGTACATGGGCTCCGAGAGCACCTACAGTGAGTGTGAGACCTTCACAGACGAGGACACCAGCACCCTGGTGCACCCTGAGCTGCAACCTGAAGGGGACGCAGACAGTGCCGGCGGCTCGGCAGTGCCCTCCGAGTGCCTGGACGCCATGGAGGAGCCCGACCATGGTGCCCTGCTGCTGCTCCCGGGCAGGTCTGTACCCCGCCACCAGCCTCCTGGAGAGGCCTTTGGGATGTGGCACCTGTGGAGGTGTCTGATGGGCAGACTGGGATCTTGGAGGAGTGCATGCTGGCTAGTATCCATTACATGGGGATGGGGCTTGGCCCTGCAGTAGCTCCTGACCTTCCTGGGATGAGCCCATATCGCCTTGCCCACCTTGCCCGAGCGGTCTCCCTGTTCCAGCTGACTTTCCTGTGGTTTCCAATGTTGCTCAACATCTTTAGCTGTAGAGAGAGAACTTATAGGAGAAATGGATGTCTCAGCAGGGTTTTGGAACCCATTCACCTTTGCAGCACCCCTGTGGAGGCCATGTTCTCTCCCCACCTGTCCCCCACCCTCAGGATTTCTGTAGCCCCCTGTATTTCGAGCTAGTTGGGGCTGGAGTAGAGGGAAGGGCAGAGTCTGGGAGAAGGTCAGATCAGGGAGGTGTCCGGTGGCTCACGTGGACCTGAATCAGTGCTTTCGGTGTTGCCCCTGCTACTGGAAAGCCTGCTCAGCATGCTTAAGTGTAATTGTGAAGCAAAAATTAAATTCTCAGCCCCCCAACCAACTGATGGACCCCTCTCTCAGCCTCAGACATTGCTCAGTCAACCTGAAAATGTAGTTCAGGCCATTGTTAGGGAGGTCAGGCAGGCCTCATTAGGCCCCTCCCTTTGGAATTCAGGCCCAGCTGACCAGCATTCACATTAAACAGAGACTGACAAAGGTGGACTTTTTATAGCAGCCACAGCACACCACATTCCAGTCTGACTCTAGTGCAGCATCACAAGACAGGTGGCAGGCCCTGAAAGAAATCCAAGTATTTTACCCCAAAATATCTATTTATTTGACATATTTCAGAATGGCCCTATAGGACTGTCTCTTGTGGGGAAAGTCTGCACCCTGTAGAGAATCTCCTCCCTTCCCAGGTCTTTTCCCTGATGCAGGAGGGAATGAACTTGGAGTCTGGCACCTTCTCAGGTCTGCTGCCTGCTGTCTGGAGGCCTCATCTGCTTGATAAAGCCTTGGTCTCCACAGCCCCTTATCTTAAGCGGAGGCATTCCTTGCTATTGATTCCAAGTCTTTAGAGAATAACTCTTTCAAACAGTGGTCAATCAGAAGATCTTGGCATCTGCTTATGACCTGGAAGCCCTCCTGTCCCCCACTTAGAGTTGTCCCGTGTTTCCTGACTGAACCAGCATCTTGCATGTAGGGTTGATGTCTTATGTCTCCCCGAGATGTATAAACCAGGCTGTAGCGTGATCCTCTTGGACACGTGCTCTCAGGGCTTCCTAGGGCAGCATCACGGGCTGTTAGTCACTCTTATTTGGCTCAGAATAAACCTCTTCAAATATTTTACAGAGTTTAAGTCTTTTTGCCAACATAATATACCCACAAGTGCATGCCCATGTTGTAAGTGCAGAGCCAGCAGGTTTTTCAAACTGACCATTCCCACGGCCCTTTTCTCAGGTCCTCCCAGGCCCCTGACAGCAGCCAGCTCTCCACCGGCCCCGCATCTTCCTTAAGTTCCCCACACGGCGAGGTCCTTCCTGTGCCTGGCTTCTTCCACTTGCTGTTGTGCTTGTGGATTTAGCCCTATTTTTTTTTTTTTTTTTTTTTGAGACGAAGTCTTGCTCTGTTGCCCAGGCTGGAGTGCAGTGGTGCGATCTCAGCTCACTGCAGCCTCTGCCTTCTGAGTTCCAGCGATTCTCCTGACTCAGCCTCCTGGGTAGCTGGGATTACAGGTGCACCCTACCAGGCCTGGCTAATTTTTGTATTTTTTAGTAGAGACGGGGTTTCACCATGTTGGTCAGGCTGGTCTCAAACTCCTGACCTGGTGATCCGCCCGCCTTGGCCTCCCAAAGTGTTGGGATTACAGGTGTGAGCCACTGCATCTGGCCGTATTCAGCCCTATTTTTGTGCATCACTGTAAATTGTTTACTTTTATTATTCTATTGCAAGAACATGCTGTGACTTTAAAATTTATTCTCCTGTTGACGGCAGTGGGTAGTTTACCATTTTTGGTTTTGTGGGTGAAGCTGCTATAGGAGTTCCTTGTCTTTGGGAGCATGGTACGGCCCTGAGCAGGATGGTCATCGGGAGCACGTCCCTTCAGCCTTGGAAGTTCCTGCAGGGGCTGCAGGGTCACCTGTTTCCAGCATCTGTGGCCCCTGGGCTCCCTGACCTCAGCAGCACACGGCCGTGTCTGCTCTCCTGCTCGCCTTGTGGGAGGCGTGCAGACACGGCTTCTCACTTGCGCTTCCCGGGTGACTGATAAGGTGTGCACCTTTCATTAGGGTTGGGAGCTCCTCTGCCTGCTTGCTGATCGCAGGAGGGGTCTGCAGACTTTTTCTCTAAAAGAGTTGCAGGCCACATGGCCCCCGTGGCAACTGCTCACCTCTGCTGTTGTGCTGCAGAAGCAGCCAAAGGCACGTGGGTCAGTGAGCACGGCTGTGTTCCCGTGAAACAGTTTTCAGAAATGGGCCGTGGCAGGATTGGCAGAGTTGGCCTGCCCCGGTCTGTTGGGTCCTGAGTCTTTTTCTCACTGATTATAGGAGTCCTTTAGATACGAGTCCCGTATGGGGTGTGTGTATCACAGATCCTTTGTCCTCTCTCTGGGTCTCCTTTTCACCTTTTGAGGCACAGATTTTTGTTTTCATTTTTGTTTTCCAAGACAGAGTCTCGCTCTGTTGCCCAGGCTGGAGTGCAGTGGTGCCGTCTTGGCCCACTGCAACCTCTGCCTCCCGGGCTCAAGTGATTCTCCTGCCTCAGCCTCCCAAGTAGCTGGGATTACAGTCGCCTGTCACGGCGCCCGGCTAATTTTTATAGTTTTGGTAGAGACGGGGTTTCAGCATCTTGGCCAGGCTGGTCTTGAACTCCTGACCTTGTGATCCACCCGCGTTGGCCTCCCAAAGTGCTGGGATTACTGGCATGAGCCACCGCCCTGGACCAGAACAGATGTTTTTAATTTTGCTATAGTTGAATTAATCCATTTTTCTTTTATGTTTATTAGCACTTTTGTGTCTCACTCAATAAATCTTTGCTTACTACAGTCACTATGATGTTTACTTATGCTTTCCTTTAAAAATGTTATTGTTTTACCTTCATATTCATATCTGTGATCGCTATATAATTTTTTTGTTATGTTTTCTTTTGAGACAGTCTTGCTGTGTCGCCCAGGCTGCAGGGCAGTGACACAATCTTGGGTCACTGCAATCTCTGCCTCCCGGATTCAAGTGATTCTCTTGCCTTAGCCTCCTGATTATTGGGACTACTGGCGCCCGCCACCACGCCTGGCTAATTTTTTTGTATTTTTGGTAGAGACAGGGTTTCGCCATATTGGCCCGGCTAACCTCAAACTGCCAGCCTCAAGCGATCCGCCCTCCTTGACCTCCCAAAGTGCTGGGATTACAGGCATTTATTTTCTCACTAGTTTTTAAGCAGTATAACTCTTGGTGGGGCGTGGTGGCTCATTCCTGTAATTCCAGCTCTTTGTGGGGCTGAGGCAGGTGGATCACAAGGTCAGGAGTTTGAGACCAGCCTGGCCAACGTGGTAAAACCCTGTCTCTACTAAAAATAACTAGCTGGGCATGGTGGCATGCGCCTGTAATCCCAGCTACTCGGGAGGCTGAGGCAGGAGAGTCGCTTGAATCCAGAGAGGCAGAGTTTGCAGTGAGTCGAGACTGCACCACTGCATTTCAGCCTGGGCGACAGAGCGAGACTCTGTCTCAAAAAAATATATATATAACTCTTTTAGGGGACACATATTTTGAAAAGCTCATTTGTGACTGGATCTGATTGCCAGCTAGTGTTACCCATCTTCTGTGGACCTGGCATGGAAAGCGCGTTGGGCATCCGTGTGCAGACCGTCCGGTTTATACAGCCTCTGCCGTGCAGTGTGGGCCTCTCTGCCGTGCAGCATGGGCCTCTTGGTCCCCAGCATGACCTTGCATGTGGGCCTTCTCTGTTCCCGTCACGCATCAGGAAAAGCTGTGCTGAGGAGAGGAGGAGATGAGGTGGGGAGGGGTGCTAAGCCCCTCGTCATTGCTTCTGAGGGAGTAGCAGGTTTCACCACAGTGGCCCGGGGAGGGGGAAGGGCCTCCTGGCTGATGGACCAGTGTGTGTTTTCCTCTTGCTGATTCTCCTCCCCTCAGAGGGCAGTTTTCTGTCACAGTATCTGAGCCTGTTGGTAAAACAAGCACCCAATCATAAGAAACAGAAAATAGAGTCTTCCTGTAACGTAGCCTAATTTTAGATGGTGGCTGTGGAAGGGAGCCACGCCTGCCTGTCACTGTGTAGGAACGGGACTGATGCAGACAGGCAGACCAAGTTGAAGACCCTATCGGGAGGCTATGAAGTGGCGCACGCCTCCTGGTTTTGGTTTCTTTTTCTTTTCCTTTCCTTTTTTTTTTTTTTTGAGATTGAGTCTCACCTCTGTCACCAGGCTGGAGTGCAGTGGGTGCAATCTCGAGCTCATCTGCAAGCTCCACCTCCGCGGTTCACGCTATTCTCCTGCCTCAGCGCTCCCTAGGGTAGCTGGAACTACAGGCGCCCACCACTGCGGCCCGGCTAATTTTTTTTTGTATTTTAGTAGAGGACGGGTTTCACCTCTTAAGCCATGATGACCTTCAATTCCTGACCTGCGCAGTCCTCCCGTCTCGGCCCTCCCAAAGTGTTGGGATTACAGGTGTGAGCCAACCAACGCCCGGGCCTCTTTTTTTTTTTTTTTGAGACCTGCTCGGCTCTGTTGCCCAGGGCTGGAGTGCAGTGACGTGCGTATCTTGGCTCACCTGCAAGCTCCGCTCCCGGGTTCAAGTGATTCTCCTGTCTCAGCCTCCTGGGTAGCTGGGACTGACATTGCGCCTGCCAACTATGCCCGGGCTAATTTTTTGTTCTTTTTAGTAGAGACGGGGTTTCACCGTGTTAGCCAGAATGGTATAGATCTCCTGACCTCGTGATCCGCCCACCTCGGCCTCCCAAAGTGCTGAGATTACAGGCGTGAGCCACCGTGCCCGGCCCTGGTTTGGTTTCTGTATCATTTTTACTGAAAGCCTGCGTATTTAAGGCCATGGGATTCATCCTGAGCTGTCCCAGGAGTGGTGCGTGGTGGGCATTTCTGTGGGTGTGAAACTGGAACTTCTCACGGCTGAGCACAGCAGGTCTGGACAGAGCAGAGTACATGGTCCTCCTGACTCTGCCCCCTTCTCCTGGGCACGAGGAGTCACCTCACTCTCCCAGGCCCCTTTCTTTCCTGGAACGAAGCAGCACCTGGCCTGCACGGCAGGTTCTCCTGAGGACTTCTGGGGAAGGGTGGGAGTGGGGAGCGCTGGAGCACAGGAGCCGCTGGAGGCACAGCTGTTTCCCGTTGCCTCCAGCCACTGTGTTTTCCAGAACTTGGCTGTGGGGCAGTCATTCTCTTCAGAAGGAGGACGGGTACTTGGAAACCCCTTCCTTTTCCCCGTTGCGATTTGCTGTTAAGTTTTAGATTAAAGTAGAAGTTTGAATTCCATCGCCCAGTGGTTGCGTGAGGACAGCAGCTCCCTAGAGAAGAGGCGAAGGTGCTTGAACCCAGATGTTGGTCTGTGTGGACCTGTGCTGTCGCGTGTGGGGCTGCGGGACTCATGATGTGGGAGGACACACTTGCTGCAGAGTGAGGAGAGTGAAGAGGCTGGAGTGTTTGAAACGACTGCATGTTGGGCTAAGTAAAATGTTTTATTAAAATATATTTGGGCCGGGCGCGGTGGCTCACACCTGTCATCCCAGCACTTCGGGAGGCCAAGGCGGGCAGATCACGAGGTGAGGAGATCGAGACCATCTTGACTAACACAGTGAAACCCCGTCTCTACTAAAAATACAAAAAATTATCCGTGTGTGGTGGCGGGCGCCTGTGGTCCCAGCTGCTTGGAGACTGAAGCAGGAGAATGGCGTGAACCCTGGAGGCGGAGCTTGCAGTGAGCTGAGATCGCTCCATAGACTCCAGCCTGGGCGACACAGCAAGACTCCATCTCAAAAAAAGAAAAAGAAAAAAAAAACTGTTTCTTTCTTTTTTTTTTTTTTTGAGACAGGGCCTTGCTCTGTCACCCAGGCTGGAGTGCAGTGGCATCATCACCGCTCACTGTAGCCTCGACCTCCCAGGCTCAAACGACCTTCCCACTTCAGCCTCCCGAGTAACTGGGACTACAGGCGTGTGCTTCCACACCTGGCTGATTTAGAAATTTTTTTTTGCAGTTGAGGCCTCCCTCTGTTGCCCAGGCTGGTCTCAAACTCCTGAGCTCAAGCCATCTGCTCGCGTTGGCCTCCCAAAGTGTTGGGATTACAGGCGTGAGCCATCGCACCCAGCCCCCACTTTTTTTTTTTTGAGACGAGTCTCACTCGTTGCCCAGGCTGGAGTGCAGCAGCGCCGTCTCGGCTCATTGCAAGCCCTGCCTCCTGGGTTCATGCCATTCTTCTGCCTCAGCCACCCGAGTAGCTGGGACTACAGGCGCGCGCTACCAAGCCCAGATAATTTTTATATTTTCAGTAAAGACGGGGTTTCTCCATGTTGGCCAGGCTGGTCTTGAACTCCTGACCTCAAGTGATCCACCTGCCTCGGCCTCCCAAAGTGCTGGGATTACAGGCGTGAGCCACCGCGCCCGGCCAATTTTTTATATTTTTATAGAGACAGTGTTTCACTGTGTTAGCCAGGATGGTCTCGATCTCCTGACCTCGTGATCCACCTGCCTCGGCCTCCCAAAGTGCTGGGATTACAGGTGTGAGCCACCGCACCTGGCCTTTTGTTTTTTTTTAAACGTGACTCCCAGGACTCATGTGTGGCTTGCAGCACACCCTCTGGAAAGCACCTTCCACACCCTCAGCTTGGGGATGCCTATGGCCTTCAGTCAGAAGACATCATTTCTGTTTTACTTTGTAGGTCTCACCCCCATGGCCAGTCTGTCATCACGGTGATTGGGGGTGAGGAGCACTTTGAGGACTACGGTGAAGGCAGTGAGGCAGAGCTGTCCCCAGAGACCCTGTGCAACGGGCAGCTCGGCTGCAGTGACCCCGCTTTCCTCACGCCCAGGTAATGACACCTTGCACCAGCACACCCTCCTCCCTCTTCTTCCCGTGGTTGATTATAGGAAGTTTTCCTTTTTGGTTGGTACGTTGGTAAGAGAGAACTTGCTTTCCTTGATGTAATGTGATTAAGTAAACCATATTCAAAACTTTAAAATTTATACCTGGATTTAGGAAAGCTGGGTGAAGTCCCTCTTATCCAGCTACATCCCCAGATCACTGCATTTCTGAGGCTTCAGCAGAATCATGTGGCACAGAGCTGTGTTTGGACACTTGGCTTGCAGGCTCCTTAGCTGTGGGCCGTGGATCACATGGTGGGCTGTGCAGGCTTTTGAGGGAGGCCTCAAGATCACAAGTGAGTCTTCAGATTCATTTCCTTGTAAATATCTGACATCCCAACTGGAAAGCTGTGACTAAATAAATAGAAGCATGACACGCAGTGGGTGAGATGCCTACTCACAAACGTCCGGAGTCCTCTTGGCTTGGATCCAAACATGGGGTCTGGGTACGCACGTCTGAGGGCTTAGGGCTCCCGCGTGGGAGTCAGTCCCTCGAGGACGCTCCTGAGTTCAGGGAGACCCTCGCCTGGCTGATGGGGTTGTTACTTCAATCCCTTCTCCCCTTTGCTGCTAGGTTCTTGTTGTCCATCTTTGCCAGCATTCAAGGCCGAGTCTCTTTAAGCAGCCACAAGAGTCTTCCCTTGTCCGCCACCTGCCCGCTATTAACGAGGCCTAGGGAACCTGGGTGGAGGGCGGTGCAGGAGGGGCCATCCCTTGAGCTGAGCAGCTCATCTGTCCATAGGGTCCCCCTCCTTTCGTTTCCCATGTGCCCTCCCTGAAGCCACCCATCAGCCCTGGGTGTGGGGACCCTGCACGGATGTCCCGTGTGCTGGTTGGTCCCGGCAAGCGTCCTGGGAGAGCTGTGCGTGAGTGAGGCGTCGCAGGCGTCCTCAGAGGCAGTGTGCTTGTCTTTGGCACTGTCCTCTCCCAGCGGGTGGTGGTGTCAAGACAAGGGCCAGAGGACTGGGCGTTTCTAAACTTGTGTCTCTGGGCTTGGTAATCACCTCTTCCTACCTGTGTAGTTTGTCCCTGTCTCCTGTGCAGTGTTTTCATTGTTACCTGTTTCAAGTGTCATCAAATGTAAATTTTGTTTTTTCCTTTTCCCCTTTTTTTTTTTTTTTTTTTTTTTTTTTGAGACGGAGTCTCGCTCTGTCGCCCAGGCTGGAGTGCAGTGGCGCGATCTCCGCTCACTGCAAGCTCCGCCTCCTGGGTTCACGCCATTCTCCTGCCTCAGCCTCCTGAGTAGCTGGGACTACAGGCGCCCGCTACCTCGCCCGGCTAGTTTTTTGTATTTTTTTAGTAGAGACGGGGTTTCACCGTGTTAGCCAGGATGGTCTCGATCTCCTGACCTCGTGATCCGCCCGTCTCGGCCTCCCAAAGTGCTGGGATTACAGGCTTGAGCCACCGCGCCCGGCCATCACCTTTCTTTACTTGAGCTTCCACAGCCTGTGGGTCCCAGTGCCCAAGATGAGGCTGCCTTTGTTCTTCTGCCTTCGCGTCGCAGACACAGCACCCCCTGCCAGTGCCCCAGAAGCCCTTGGAGGTGAAGTCACAGGGAGGTTAGCTAGCACCACCATGATACAGAACACTGAGTTTTAACGCAGGTCGGTTTTTTGGGTTTTTTTTTTTTTTGAGACAGGATCTCACTTTATTGCCCAGGCTGGAGTGGTGCCATCATGGCTCACTGCAGCCTCAACCTTCCTCAGCTTCCTGAATAGCTACAGGTGTGAGCTACTACACCTGACTAATTTTTGTATTTTTTGTAGAGACAGGGTTTCACCATGTTGCCTAGGCTGGTCTCAAACACCTGAGCTCAAGCGATCCACCCACCTCAGCCCCCTCAAAGTGCTGGAATTACAAGCATGAGCCACCATGCCCGGCTTTAATGCACATCTTAAAAATCAGAAAACTATTGTAGATTTATCATTCATGCATAGTTTTTGCTAGAGGTGATTTTTGGAGTAATCATAAATATAGTACAGTAAGTAAAGTTTACCTGGAGATATGGTTTTCTATCACGTTGATGTGTTTTTGGCAAAAGAGAAAGCAGTGTGGTTTTTTACCTTCTTTTTAAAGAAGGGCTTTTGCTTTGCAAGGAAGCTCTCAGGCTGCCCCTGCTTTCTTCTGGGCACCTGACCCAGAGGAGCAGGTGTGTGCGGGGCCCCCTGCTGCTCGAGCTGGTGCCTGTCCGGGGCTCCTGGAGGCAGCTGAGGGGTGTGGGCTCACTGCGGTCTAAAGGCAAGAGCCAGAACATTGCACAGCTCATTCTCCACGTGCTTTTGTTCCACACCATGTCCCGTCCTGTCCCCCTCAGCCCCTTGTGCGGAGTCACAGATGACCCCACGGGTCCCCATCCTCTCCTGAACGGATGCTTCTGTCTCTCTAGCACTGACCCTCTTGCCGCAAAGCTGCACAGCATCCTCACTGATGAGGCGTTTGAGTTTTACTGTAGCCAGTGCCACAAACAAATCAACCGCCTTGAGGATCTTTCCGCCCGCCTGAGTGATCTTGAAATGAATAGGTAACTGACGAGCGCCTGGCCTTGCTGTCTGTTCCCAGGGTGTGGGGGACTCCCGATACCCACAGCCCCGTTGAGGGCCTGACCTGACTCCGGTGCTTCCTGAGGCCTGGTCTGGTTGCCGCGAGGCCAGCGGGACTCTCCCTGGGGCCCCGCCTCCTCCCCTGCACGCCGCGGGTCGCCGGGGCCCCGCCTCCTCCCCTGCACGCCGCGGGCCGCCGGCGCCCCGCCTCCTCCCCTGCATGCGCAGCTCAGGCCAGCGCTTGTGTTGGTGGAGAAAGTGATCAGTCTTTGCAAGCTGTGCTGTCTGTCCTGTGTGTGAAAGAGGATTCTTTCTGCATTTTACTAAAAGATTTCTTTCATTGAGCTCATGAGACAGAATTGGGAAAGTTAAAAGATTTGGTCTTTAAGAACAAATGTGTAAACAGCTTTCAGGATTGTTAGTTTCAGTGGAGTTTCGTGTACTCACAGCGAGCCTGTAAGGGAGCTGACTGTGTCTCGGCAGGGGAGCTTCTGTGGCTGGCCCCATGTCTAACCCCCAGTTACAGAAGACAGTTTTGGGTGGTTTGCACATATTGACGTGCCTATTAGGCATCTCTGTTGATTTCGCCTGCAGTAAAGCCCATGGGGAAGCCCCTGGGTGGACAAAGAAATGGGCCCCTTTGGAGCTTTCCACAGCAGCCCTAGCCTAGCAGAAGAGGTGGGTGAGCATGCAGGCTCATGCTGGCAATCCGGGATGGCTTCCTGAAAAACGAGCCCTGGCCTGTTGGGAGGGTTTGTAAAGGTGGCGGAAAGGTGAGCTACCATTATGGTTCTAGCATGTTTAGAGGTCTTTGTGAAACTGCTTACTGTCTTGAGCCTGCTTCTGTCCCTGCCCCCAGGGGACTTCTGCCAAGGCCAGCCCATCCTTGCTGGTGGGTGCTCACTGCTCACAGCCTTGTTGAGGCTTCTGTCCTGCCTCTAGTTCCATTTCCAGGGCACTTAACTCTTCTTAGGTTCCATGAAATGCTGTGAAACACAGGGCCTCCAGCCAGTGCCCATTCAGGTGGAGAGGATGCCGGTGAGGCCCGGCACTGATGGCCATTCTGGAGCATCAGGGGGTCTTGGCAGCACTGATGAGAAAGCAGAAGTGCTCTTTGAAGAGGGCCTTCCTGGGAGACTTGAGGCCATCCGGAATCCGGTGATTCCAAAGATCCGCTAGCCTCTGTTTGAGGGGAAATCGGTTTTCGCCTGCTGTATTTGTTCAGCTAAGGGTTCAGGGCTCGGTGACGATGGCTCATCCTGCCTGGGGAGGGGTCATTTGTTCTTCCCATGCAGAGACTTGCCCTCCCACCCACCGGTAAGTTGAGTGCAAGCATATCATCTCCGTATGTGAAAGTAAGCCTGAAGACTCAGGTCTCGTCTCATTCTATGAAGATTTTTGACATAGAAGGGATTTTTTTCCACATTGAGAACTAGCTCCAGGATGGCCATGGTCACCCCTGCTGGGCTTTGTGGGTTAGAGAAGGGACTAGGATGTAGCTAAGTACAACCAGCAAGTCCTGTGGAGCCTCACGTCCAGGTTCTGCCACCCCTTTTCCTAAGACTCTATGAAGCGGGCCAGGCGCAGTGACTCACGTCTGTAATCCTAGCATTTTGGGAGGCTGAGGCAGGCAGATCATTTGAGGCCAGGAGTTTGAGACCAGCCTGGCCAACATGGTGAAACCCTGTCTCTACTAAAAATATAAAAATTAGCCAGGAGCGGTGGTGCACGCCTGTAGTTCCAGCTACTTGGGAGGCTGAGATGGGAGGTTCACTTGAACCCAGGAAGTTGAGGCTGCAGTGAGCCAAAATTGTGCCACTGCACTCCAACCTGGGCGACAGAGCCAGACTCTGACTCCAAAAAAAAAGACTCTGCCAAGTGGTTAATATGCTATTCAGTTCAACACAATCAGGGCACACAGCTGCCAGTGAGAACATTCTCCCCAGAACCCTCAGTGGAGGAGATCTGAATCTTGCCTTTTAGTTTCCATGGACTTGCCCGAAAGTAAGCTTATTTGGTCATGCTTTGTGGGTGACAAGAGGTGATTAGTCCAGACCACCTCTGGAAGCTTTGATATCGGATACGATGTCCAGTCACCTCAGAACAGGCCAACAGCTATTGCATTTTCCAGGTATCCTAGAGCCTCTAAATACATTTCATTTTGTAGAAACTAAGAAGTGTGCCTTACATGGAGGTATATTTTCTTTTTTCTTTTTTTTGAGACAGAGTCTTGCTTTGTTGCCCAGGCTGGAGTGCAGTGATGCGATCTTTGCTCACTGCAACCTCTGTCTCCCGGATTCAGGCGATTCTCCTGTCTCAGCCTCCCAAGTAGCTGGGACTACAGGTGCCTGCCACTGCGCCCGGCTAATTTTTGTATTTTTAGTGGAGACAGGGTTTCACTGTGTCTCAGTCTCCGGACCTCGTGATCCTCCCGCTTCAGCCTCCCAGAGTGCTGGGATTACAGGCTGAGCCACTGCGCCTGGCCTGCCTGGAGGTATATTTTCAAATTACAAACGCTGTTGCTGGTCTGCCAGTCCAGGCCCTGAGAGGTAAACTGAACGTTCAGTAGGTAAACTGAACGATGAGTCTGTCCTGTCTTATTAGTTCTAGGGAGTCTCAACAATAATAGGATAAAATTAGATTTGTATTCAGCCTGGGTGCTGTGGCTCATGCCTGTAATCCTAGCACTTTGGGAGAACGAGGTGGCGGATCACGAGGTCAGGAGATCGAGACTATCCTGACTAATACGGTGAAACCCAGTCTCTACTAAAAATACAAAAAATAAGCCGGGTGTGGTGGCGGGCGCCTGTAGTCCCAGCTACTTGGGAGGCTGAGGCAGGAGAATGGCGTGAACCCGGGAGGCGGAGCTTGCAGTGAGCCGAGATTGCACCACCGCACTCTAGCCTGGGCGACAGAGTGAGACTCCGTCTAAAAAAAATAGACCTGTATTAAAATACACATTATTAGTCTCCAATCAGGAAAGGAGAGCCACACAGTAATTTGAACAAGGAAAGTTTAATACAAAGAATGGACTGGGTGTGGGCTGAAATCCCAGTGCTTTGGGAGGCTGAGGCGGGAGGATCCCATGAGCCTAGGAGGTTGAGGCTGCAGTGAGCTGTGGTTGCACCACTGCACTTCAGCCTGAGCGACAGAGTCAGACCCTGCCTATAAAAAAAGGTAATACAAACAAACAAAAAATTTTAAAAATCATTAGGGAAAGAAAAAGAATGACTGCCACAGGCTATGGGAGTAATGAGGCACTGGTTGGGATGAGTAAAAAGAACTCTGCAGAGCATAGGGATAGCAGCCACAGGAGCAGCCGCCACCCAGGGCCCGGGCAGAGCCCCCCAGCTGCAGCCACTGCTACCCAAGGCTGAGGTCTGCAGCAGCTGCAAACCGGGTGGTGGGGACACCACCGTGCTGTCAGGGCTTGTGGGGAACCTGCCTCCTGGCTGCCAGGAAAGCTATTCTGTTGCAGGATGCGTGGCAGAGTCACCCCCTAGAGAACAGCTACCCGAATGGGGTCGGGGAAGCCCCTGGTTCTGGCTACAGTGGGCAGGATGCTCCCTAGAGTGGGGGCTAGGGAGGCTGCATGTGTTGGAGGGCCCTGCAGAGAGTGGTCAGAACCAGGAGGCAAACCTCTTCCTGCTGTGTTCGCTCCACGGCTCCCTCTGCTGATGACACGCAGCATCATGGAGGAGGAGCCTGCTAAGGGCCCAGCGCTATTTCTGCAGGGCCAGTAAAAAGGATGGACTTGGAGCTGAGGGGCTCTACATTAATACCTGGCACAGCAGCTGATTCTCCTCCAGCAGATTTTTTTTTTTTTTTTTGAGACAGAGTTTTGCTCTTTGTTGCCCAGGCTGGACAGTGGCGTGATCTTGGCTCACTGCAACCTCCATCTCCCGGGTTGAAGCGATTCTCCTGTCCCAGCTTCCCGAGTAGCTGAGATTACAGGCACGTGCCATCACACCCGATTATTTTTGTATTTTTAGTGGAGACGGCTTTTCCACGTTGCTAGGCTGGTCTTGAACTCCCGACCTCTGGTGATCCGCCCGCCTCGGCCTCCCAGAGTGCTCGGATTATAGGCATGAGCCACCATGCCCGGCCCCTCCAGCAGATTTTTCTGCCTGACCCTGGAAAGAAAATCATGGGTGTTTTTGAGACAGGTAGGCTGAAGAGAGATGTGGCTGTGTGAGTTCCAGGATCTTGATGGTTTCCAGGCCCTGGGGGTGAGGGTGTCTTCTTGCAGGCTGAGGCTAATAATTTAGCAGCTATACTGTAAAATACAACTTTGGACCTCAGAAATGAGAGAGAAGGTAAGTTTGGCTCATGTGCCACTGCAGATGGTTAAATCAAACAGTTGATGTATAATTGGCTACATTTACTGCCCTGAAATGGCAACGGGAAAGGTGTCCAAACTGATGCCTAGGCAGGCGTTCTGAGCATGATGCATCAGTGCCTAAGTCGAAGTCAGCGGCAAACTCTCCTGTCATAGCGGGATCTGGGGTCACTTTTCACTTGGGGGTCTCCAAAGGCCAAGCGTTTGGGGGTAATTTGGCTTCAGAAGCATTGGGACAGTGCAGCCAGCTGATGGGACCAGGTGTGGCGCTGGCCCCTCAGTCACAGTCTGGGGTGGCTGCATCTGGAAGCCTCTTTGGGGGCTGGAGTAACGAGACATATGCGGCCTCATCCCAGCACCCCCGTGTCCTTGCTGTTTTGCTGAGTGAGCGTTTGTGCATGGGCTTGCCTGGGGGACCCTGCATGCCGGGAGCATTGCTGAAAGGCCGCCCACCCCGTATCTCCACAGCCTGAGTTTCCTGCTTCCTCTTGCTCCTCTCTGTCTGTTCTAACAATTTTCCTGTTTATTTTGTTTTCTGCACAGTCCGACAAAGCGGCTCTCCAGCAAGAAGGTGGCAAGGTAGGTGGGTCTCTGCTTCCTGCTGAAAAACGTTCTGAAGTGGATAATTAATCATAGTTTTTAAAAAAACGTTGTAGAAAATGTTCTTTTCCGAGGTATTTTTTAAACTCCTGCAAGTTACTTTACATGGTTTGGGGCTGAAGGTATCCTGAAGGAGTGTTGGGAAAGGGGTTTCCGGGGCTGTGAATTTGGACCCAGATTTGTGACCAGGAGGTAGGTGTCAGAGCTTTTGGTGCTGGGCCTGTTGAGTGTTCACAAAGGTCTGGAAGGGGCCACCATCCCCACGTCTGCTCTATGTTAGTTCTGAGGTACCGAGACCCAGTGAGGAGCCTGACTTCTCAGAGCCGGGTCTGGGCAGCTCCCCAAGGTGAGTTGAAGGTGAGGGGTGGGTCTGACTCCAATTCCTAAAGACCATTTCTTCATTTTTCAGCTTTGCATAGATCTGTTGGCTTCCTGCTGTGAAAGATGGCAACATACACTTTTATCTTCCTCCCCTGCCAGTTCTTACCGAAATAAGCATGCAGGGTTAGGGCCTTTCCCAGGGAGCCACGCAGTGTGGCTGCTGGGTGGCCTCTGCTGCCATCAGAGACTGGCTTCGTGTCTTTATCTGCTTTGCCTTCCCTGTCCCCATCCTGCTTCGTGGCCCAGCCTCTGGCAGGGCTGGGAGACGCCTCTCCGGCTTCCTCTGGAACATCCCCCGCCGGAGCCTCCTCTCTGCCCCGTTGTGCTGGGCATTCTCCAGGCCTCGTGGCTGTGGTCCTGGATGGGTCTCCCCACACCAGTGAGTTCCTTTGTTTCAGGGGTTGGATCCTCTAGCTCCCTGGCTCTGTCTTCCTTCTTGTTTGTTTTCTCCATTTTTTGTCCAGCACATCTTCCTGTAGCTTCTTGAGAAAAGGGGTGCTCAGGAGATAGACTTGAGCCTCGGTTGGTTTGGACTGTGAGTGTGGATAGTTTTTTTTTTTTTTTTTTTTTTTACGGAGCTCGCTCTGTCAACCCGGGCTGGAGTTGCAGAGGTGGGCCGGATCTCAGGTCACTGCAACGCTCCGCTCCGGGTTCACGCAGGCGCCCGCCACCTCGCCCGGCTAGTTTTTTGTATTTTTTAGTGGAGACGGAGTTTCACCATGTTAGCCAGGATGGCAGTGTGGATAGTTTTTGTAAGATGTTTGACGGCATTGCTTATGTTCTAGAGCTAGACTTGCTACCCTGAAGTTTAACCTTTCTGACTCGGTTTCTTTGTGACCAGCCTGGGCAACATAGTGAAACCCTGTCTCTACAAAAAAAAATAAATAAATAGATAAATAAATAAACAAAAGAAAAATAGGCAAGGTCTTGCTGCGTTGCCCAGGCTGTCGTGCAGTGGCTATTCACAGGTGCAAGCATAGGTCTGACAGCCCCAGACTCCCTGGGCTCAAGTCATCTTCCCAGCTTGGCTTCCCAAAATTCTGGGATTGCAGGTGTAAGCCACCACACCCGGCCAGGGACAGAAACCTTTTGTTTTCCGTTTTCTTTTATTTTGAGACATGGTCTTGCTCTGTCACCTGGGCTGCAGTACCGTGGTACAATCACAGCTCACTGCAGCCTGTACCTCTCAGGCTCACTCCATCCTCTCACCTCCTCCCCCTGAGTTCCTGGGACTACAGGTGTGCACTACCATGCCCGGCTAGTCTTTTAATTTTTAATAGAGATGGAGTTTCAGTATGTTGCCCAGCCTGGTCTTGAACTCCTGGGCTTAAGGGAGCCTCCCACCTTGGCCTACCGAAGTACTGGGATCACAGACATGAGTCGTCACACCTGGCCATGGATGGAAACTTTTTTCTTTTTGTTTCTCTTCTCGTTTCTTGGCTTTCTTTTCTTTTTGAGACAGTCTTGCTCTTCCTTGCTCTGCCTTGCTCTGTGCAGTGAAGTGATCACAGCTCACAACAGTCTTCACTTCCCAGACCTCCCAAGCTCAAGCGATCCTCCCTCCTCAGCCTCCTGAGCAGCTGAGCACCACAGGTGCATGCCACCATGCCCAGATAATTTTTAAATTTTTTGTAGAGACAGGCCCCGACTGGTCTTGAACTCCTGGGCTCTAGCAGTCCTCCCACCTTGGTCTTCCAGAATGTTGGGATTACAGGCATGAGCCACCGTGTCCCACTTGTTTTCCATTTTCTATCATTTTAGAGGCGAGGGGCTAGAGGAAGCAGAGGTGAATGTCATCATGCATTTTTTTCTGTCTTCTTGCTCACCCCTTTCAGAAAAGCATTGAGCTGGCCAGGCGCAGTAGCTCACATCTGTAATGCCAGCACTTTGGGAGGCCGAGGCGGGTGGATCACCTGAGGTTGGGAGTTCAAGACCAGCCTGGCCAACATGGAGAAACCCCATCTCTACTAAAAATACAAGATTAGCCAGGTGTGGTGGCGTGTGCCTGTAATCCCAGCTACTCGGGGCTGAGGCAGGAGAATCGCCTGAACCCTGGAGGCAGAGGTTGCAGTGAGCCGAGATCGTGCTACTGCACTCCAGCCTGGGCAACAAGAGCGAAACTGTGTCTCAAAAAAAAAAAGAAAGAAAGAAAAGCATTGAGCTCTTAGGAATGTGAAGTGAATCCCCAGCCAGCTACACTTCTGTTACCACTTCAGCATCACCTTCCTCCCCACTTCATCGTCTTTTACTCCAGACAGGCTGCAGCTGGTGACATGAAAGGCCAGTCAAGGCCAGCTGAGGCATCTCCTTGAGGCTTCCTGTGCCTAGGATGGGGCGCAGCCTGCAGCTGGCTGTCACAGCCTCGTGTCAGAAACACCCTTTGAAATTTAATGTTTCCTTCATGGGTACCCTTTGGTATAAAAAAAGCCCAATCTGGTCCAGGCACGGTGGCTGACGCCTGTAATCCCAGCACATTGGGAAGCTGAGGTGGGCGGATCATGAGGTCATGGGCCCGTCGAGACCAGCCTGACCAACATGGTGAAACCCCATCTGTACTAAAAATACAAAAATTAGTCAGGCGTGGTGGTGCACACATGTAATCCCAGCTACTCAGGAGCCTGAGGCAGGTGAACTGCTTGAACCCAGGAGGCAGAGCTTGGAGTGAGCCAAGATTGCACCATTGCACTCCAGCCTGGGCAACACAGTGAGACTCCATCTCAAAAAAAAAAAAAAAACCCGATCTGCAGTTATCTGAGTTATCTGTAGTTAGAGTTTACAAAACAGAGGCATGTTCTGCAATATATCTATCCACATGTAAATATATATATGCAACATTTAATCTGCTGTTTTGCCCCAAATCTGCCAGAAGAGGCTAAGGAAGTGCAAAATAACTGTCGTGATTCGCTTCTCACAGTTCTCAGCCCTTCACACTGCACTGTTGCTGAGATGGTGGGTTTTGCCGGCAGCCATTGTAGCCCCTGGGCTTGGCTGCCTTGTCACCTCCCTCAGCCTTGTTCCGTCCCTGTCCATGAGATGGAAGTGATTTTCTCCAGTCAGCTGTGCGTCTGCAGGGACAGGGGCCCCAGGCAGAGCCGAGTCCATCAGGACAGGAAGAAGTGCTCACAGCAGGCAGGCTCCTAGGGCCCTGGGTGGGAGGCCTCAGGGATCCCTGTACCTCCTTGCTCACCAGCCAGGCTTGACCTACTGCCCTTCGGGGCAGATCAGGATTTATCCACAGCTCCCTCTCTGAGGGGAGGGTTCTCCCAAGTGAGGGTGTGATGTAGCTGGAGAATCCCTCTTTCTGGGGGATTTAAATAAGCAGCCGAGCCGGACACGGTGGTTCACGCCTGTAACCCCAACACTTTAGGAGGCCGAGGTGTGCAGGTCATGAGGTCAGGAGTTTGAGACCAGCCCGGCCAACATAGTGAAACCCCATCTCTACTAAAAAATAAAAAAATTAAAAAGTTAGCTGGGCGTGGTGGCGGGTGCCCGTAATCCCAGCTACCTGGGAGACTGAGGCAGGAGAATCGCTTGAACCCGGAAGGCGAAGGTTGCAGTAAGCTGAGATAGCACCGCTGCACTCCAGCCCAGGCGACAGTGCAAGACTCTGTCTCAAAAAAAAAAAAATTTAAATAAATAAATAAGCAGCCCCACACGCCATGCTGAGGACCCTCTGCCTCACACGGGTGGCCGTGTGTGGTGGCTGCACGCTGAGTGCCTGGGGATGGCCGTGCCTCCTGTCCCCAAGTCAGCCCCAGAAGTGCCTAAGCCTCTAGGACAGCTCAGAAGTACTGACAGGCCCCAGGCCATGGCCTCTCCTCAGGATAGGCTCTGGGTTGCAGCTTCCTGCCTGGAGTGGCTCATATTTGGGGGCAAGATCATGGGCGTTTAAGAGCAGTGACTGGCCAAGAACATGATCCGCGTCAGCAGCAGCTTTTGAGAATCTGATGAAATTCCCAGGGCCCCAGAAGGGCGCTGGTGTGTTCCAGCTGGTGCACGTTCTCAGGGCTTGTCTCCAGGGGCAAAGATACCTTCTTTTTTCCTCCTCAGAGCGTTTATGGGGAAAAAGATGGAAATGTTCAAGCCCAGTCCATACTAAGAAGCAAATCAAACTTCGTACACTTGGTAGACATTTTCAGTGGAAAAACACTAACATTTTATGGAATTCTTACCCTGCTATGTCCCTAGCCAAGCTGTTTGTATGCAGGACCTTGGTCCAACCTCAATTGCCTGCACACCCAGATTTCATAGGCAAGGAAGCTGGGAGAAAGTCCCCCCATTTCACAAGCAAGGAAGCTGGGAGAGGGTCCCCCCACTTCATAGGCAAGGAAGCTGGGAGAGGATCCCCCCATTTCATAGGCAAGGAAGCTGGGAGAGGGTCCCCCCATTTCATAGGCAAGGAGGCAAGGAAGCTGGGAGAGGGTCCCCCCGTTTCATAGGCAAGGAAGCTGGGAGAGGATCCCCCATTTCACAGGCAAGGAAGCTGGGAGAGGGTCCCCCCATTTCATAGGCAAGGAAGCTGGGAGAGGATCCCCCCATTTTACAAGCAAGGAAGCTGGGAGAGGGTCCCCCCATTTCACAGGCAAGGAAGCTGGGAGAGGGCCAGTGCTTTTTTACAGTCACGCAGTTGTGAGCATCAGGCTCTCAGCCCGGAGCCTGGCTCGGTACTGAGGCTCCCAGGATGTATAAAGAACTGAACATGCGCCTTTGCTGTTGGCTCTTCTGTGCGAGTGCTCTGAGAGTTTTCTGTACTCCCAGCAAGTTCGGGTTGGTGTAGATTCACCACAGCGAATCTGGCCCGGTGGTGACCACGAGCACGCGCTTACTGCGCGCCGAAGCTCACACTCCCTGGAGCAGCTCCTGCCCCGAGGCGGCAGCCTATGGGCTGGCTGCGTCCACGCAGGACCACGAGGCTGTGTCCCGGAGCCTGGCCCAGGTAGTAACCTGGCATGGCCTGCAGGGCTGGGGATGCGTCCACAGGAGCTGGTGTCCCAGAGGACACGTGTGTCTGGTGTCTTCCTGGACTTGGTTGGACCGGTTTCCCAGTGTGTCCGTGAGGTTGACACTGAGTGAGACTTCCGGGATCGACACTTTTCCTGGGACCCTCACTGTTCCTGCCGCAGAGAGCACCTGTGAAAGTCCGAGATGCAGAATGTGTACAGGGGAGGTGGATGCAGGTCGAGGTCCTGAGCTGATGTCTCACGGGCTTCTGGTAGAGACGAGATGGTTCGTGTCTCTGTGAAGAAGGACACGTTTTATTGCTGCCAAGTACAAAGTCCGCTGCCACTCGCTGGCCGGGACTGAGGTCGTGTTCTGTCAGGTTCCAAAGAGCGCCAGGAGGACTCTGAGACCACAGAGCACGGCCTGCTTTCTCCCAGCCCCTGGTAAAGATGTCCAGCCTGGGACCTCCCCCTGTATATAATGCTTTAAGTGGGAGAAGACCACCACCCAGATCAGGGGAGGACCTGTCCCCTACAACGCTGCCGCCTGCTTTTCAGATTGACTTGGGAGTGCTTGTGCTGACGGAGCCTGTCCTGTGGTTTTTCCCTTTCTTCCCTCTGTTACTGTTCCTTTTCCACAGGTACCTGCACCAGTCAGGGGCCCTGACTATGGAGGCCCTGGAGGACCCTTCCCCCGAGCTCGTGGAGGGCCCAGAGGAGGACATTGCTGACAAGGTAGGTCCTGCAGGGCTGGGTAGCGGCAGGTAGGGGATTTAGACACAGCCATGTCTGAGGGCCTCTGCAGACATCCCGGGAGGTGGGGACAGCACAGCCGGAGGTGACCCCATGTCATCCAGGGCTCCCCAGACCCTCTGCTCTTTGGCAAGTTTCCCTAAGGGATCTTGTGGGCATGTGATAAAAAGGAGTCTTCCTGTTGTGCACCAAGGGCCAGCTGGGAGGGGTGCACTGGGCAGTGAATGAGAGCCCTCAGGGATCCCACCCCCACTGTGTCTGAGCTGGGTTGGGGGACACCCAGACATTCAGTCCACCAGGCCCATGGAGACGCGACCTGGGGCACCCATGATTTGGGAGAAGAAGGCTGCCCCTGCAGTGACTGCAGAGCCAGCAACCTGCGCAACAGGCTTCTCCTGGGGACTTAAATGGAATGGGTGGCAGCAGCCAGGGCAAGGCAGCCTTGCCGTGGTTAAGATCTGCTTTTCAGCCGGATGTGGTGGCTCATGCCTGTAATCCCAGCACATTAGGAGGCCCAGGTGGGCCGATCACTTGAGGTCAGGAGTTTTGAGATCAGCCTGGCCAACATAGTGAAAGCCCGTCTTTACTAAAAATACACATGTTAGCCAGGCGTGGTGGCGGGCACCTGTAATCCCAGCTACTCGGGAGGCTGAGGCAGGAGGATCGCTTGAACCTGGGAGGCGGAGATTGCAGTGAGCTGAGATTGTGCCACTGCACTCCAGCCTGGGTGACAGAGCAAGACTCTGTCTCACCTCCT